TTTGGGTTAGTTTTGTAAAAGTAGAACATGTGAGTTAGTTTAATTTGTCATTATTACCTTAGTACTACACATTGTTCAGGTTCATATGTTACTATTATCTTTGGGTTAGTTTAATTTGTCATTGTTACCTTAGTACTACACATTGTTCAGGTTCATATGTTACTATTATCTGTGGGTTAGTTTTGTAAAAATAGAACATGTGGGTTAGTTTCATTTGTTATTATAACCTTAGTACTACACATTGTTCAGGTTCATATGTTACTATTATCTTTGGGTTAGTTTAGTTTGCCAGTATGACACGTGGGTTATTTTCATATGCAAGCTTCACATTAATTATAATGCTCAGTAATATAAAGTTATTGTTTTATCTTCCAGGAAATTGATGAAAACCACCCTTGTTACAGCTACAAGTATCTCAAGAACAAACCAGTAAAAGATTTGGAAGCAGATCAGTTTCTTCATCTTGTCATTGTATGTATTTTCATTTTAGGTACATCATACTATCCTGGTCATTAGGGCACTTGGCTCACAATCTGCGGGTTGCGAGACTAAAACCCAACATCAAACATTTTTATCGTAATTGTTGGTAAAGAGTAGTCCAAGAGTTGGTTGTGAGTGATGCCAGCCAGTAGTTTTCCCTCAATAACTTTGAGCATTGTGTTTTTTGTTTTTTTTTGGCTTTGTTGATATTGGTTTAAAAAATAAGCTAGTAATTAACATAATTTAAAATTGTACACTGTTGTTGTGTTTCTGATTAATATGTAATCATCAGATTGTTCATAATACAAATTATGCTTAACTGCTTTTATTTTTTCCTCACATTTGTTTGAATTAGACCCTTTACAGTCAAATATAATTTTAGTTATACTTGTTAGACCTAAAAATCCTCACTTTGGTATTTTACATCACTGTTATAAAGCTTACTGGAACAGAATTACTTACATGAAAATTCAAGAGCTGTATACCCAATGACAAGACTATTCAGTAGAGTTTATCACAAAATTGTAAGAAATACTGAGTTTTAAAGTTGTAATTAAAATTTACTAAAATAAACCTCTCCTCTGTTTGAAGTTTGAATTACTCCAGATTATTAAACAAAAGTGAACAGTATTTAATATTGCAGTAATGGTGTTTCAGGAATTCTTAACAGTAATAAAACATGCTTTATAGAGTTTGCTGTAGAATATAAGGTAGGGGTGATTTAAACACTTTATCTTTCAATAATTAATGGTCTTTGCAGGCTGAATCAGAAAACCTCCTTACTATGAAGATAATCATGGACAAGGAAGGAGGGGGTGGTGGTGCACCACAAACTTACCTCGATGAAATCAAACAGCTTTACTATAGGGTAAGAATTTGATGTTTTGAGTTGTAAAAAGTGTGAAACTTTGAGGAAGGGTCATATTGTTCTAGTTACTATTACATGAAATGTTGATGTTGGAAGAAAGTAACCATGTTTTGAAATCTGCTTTATTAATAAAGATTTGTTGAGTTAGGAAGAAAGATATTGTTATTATATATTTTGTGTACTACTTGTTTTGATTATTTATTAACCTTCTTTCCATGGGCATCTTTTATTGTGCATGTCTTTGGATGCTATAATCAGATGTATCTGACTTGACTTTAGTAGCCGTGTGGTGCAACATGCAGATTTACCCCACAGTGTCACAAACACTTTTTCTCATAGTGTGACAATTAGGATACTCACATGTCCTTGGATTTCCAACTTTAGTACCTCACGTACATACATCAGCGAGCAAAAGTGTGACTAGGGGATTTTAATATTGAAAAAGGACAAATTCTACATTTCATTTGTTAGTGGATAATTGACACTATTTGAGAACCCAAATTTTAATTACATACTGAAAGGGTTAATTAAACTACTTTTTGTTCATGTTATACCAATTAGTATAGCATAAAATCATAGCTAATAATCCATATTTTAATGGTATACAAGTTTGAAGTTATTAATTTTATATGACAATATTTAATAAAATCCTGAATTTCCCCTAGTGTGAGAAATGTGACATTTTTCTCTAGGCATCCCCTTTTCTCTAAATTATTTACCTACCCCCTCCAAGAAGTACGAAATCTAATGTAAGCTGCTCATTTTAATGTTGTCATCATTCAGGCAAAGCATAATTTTCATAACCTCCAATCTTGTTTGGTTACAGAGCCATCAATTAGAAAATCAGACTCCTCTTGCCACACCCACCTGTCACATCCTCTCTTTCAGGATTTGTTAATAGTTCTGTCTTATATTTAATACATTATTTTTAATCACTAGAAAGCCAAGGTTTTAATCTATCAAATAACGTATTGTATTTTGTTCAGAGAAATATCTTGCTGCCAGTTCAAACTTCATTCCCACGGGAAACACATAGAGTATCATGGATGGAATTTGTAACAGTTCTTGATGCATAATTAGAAAGCCAGAAATATTTTAATAGTTATGGTACAGTGTCTGCTTTTTGCATGATATTATTCTATGCTCTTTGGTGCATTATTTAATGAAATGAAAATTATTTAGTGCACTACTATAATTAATTTAAAAAAAAAGTGGGCTTAAGTGTCATCGACAGTCAACAACAACAAAAAAAAAAGTAACTAAAATATAAATATAGGAAACTCATTAGATTAGTTAAGGTTAGATTAGGTAAAATAAATAATAATAATAAATAAACAATTTTCATCAAGCATGCAGCTTGGAGTATCTCGTGGGTAATGTAACTCGATAGGGTAACGTGAGCTGTGCATTCACCCAGTGATTTACAGCTTATAATAATGCGTATAGTAGTTAGACATGGTGCAGAAAACAATAAAACTTAAGTATAAATAGATTTATGCTGTTACAAGCTTAAAACTATTTAGGATAAACAGATAGTAGTTTAATGTTTCAATTTGAAGTCATTCTTCAAAGATAAAAAGGGTAATATTGATTTATTTCAATTTTTATTTTTTGGTGGTTATGAGGTTGGTCAAATTGTCCAACTTTGTACAGAATTAGGGTAGAGAAAATAACAGATAAAATATCAAGTTTTATAGTTATTTAGGAAGTTTTAAAGATTAAACGAGTGAGATTTTAAATTTTTAAGATGAAGAAAAGTATTTTTTAATCTTTAAATGTAAATCATTTTGCTCTCAGACTAGTCAAGAACAAGACACGATATATTCGCGGACAAATATTTAGTAAAAGTACTTCACTGAAAAATCTGATTTTTTGTATATAAATATTGTAATGTTTACTGAAAGTCTGTCAAATTTTGTTAAGATACACTTCTTATATTAAAAGTTAGTAGTATCGAAAATATAACTGATACAAAGTGGTCACGTGGTTGGTCAGTTTGACTGAGTCCATGTTGAGAGAGTTAATTGTGAATATTTGTAGTTTGATTAAAAACCATGTGCAGGCTGATATAAAAAGTGGGTCAACAATCAAGAAGTT